AGCTTCGTGTTTTGGGAGTCGGATGCTCTATCTGATCTGGGAGTGTCTGGCAGGATCGCAGTTAATTTGGCAGGAGTCAGTAGGGTGACAGAGAAGGCTTTGCTTAGAAGGTAAGAACTGTGGCTGCTGATGCTGCAGATGCTCTGACAGCCGTTTGAGTTCAGCTCTGAATTTAGGATGCAGATTGCTGTTACAATCAGCAGCTCTCTATAGACACCCTTTCTCCCTGTTCCTTGATCCCAGTGCCGAGTGGATGTTGAGTAAGTTTTCTGTTAGAGTATTTATCTCCTGCCATCTAACCCAAATAAACGTTCCTAACGTCATTGACCTTTGGGGCATCCTGTAACGCCCCTGTTAATGATGGAAGGCTGTTCTGAAACAAACAATCAAAGGCAGCAAATTGAAGATGTTGAAAGATGCCATCTCTGGAAGGGCTGTGTGTGCCACGCTGCTTTCTGTGAGTGTAAACTGTCAGGTCTGGACAGGCTGCCTTCCTGCTGCTCCCAAGAGATTGCTCTGAGCTCAGAGCACTCCTTGTGGAAATGCTTCCCAAGTGATGGAGCTTTATATAAATCTGCTTCAGTGGGGAGGGGGGAGGGATCTCTCCCTGCTCTCTCTTCATCTCTGTGCTGGCCATTTGCTGTTGAAGGTCAGAATCCCTCATGTCGGGAAACCCAACAGCACTTGGAAAAAGGAAAATGTCCTTTCTCAAAGGATCTGGTTGCTTTCTAGCTTCTCAAAAATTATTTGGAAGTTCTTCACTGAAAGCAAAGTCATGGAGGTGGAAGTTGTGCAGCCGTAGCTGAGGCCATGCTGACCCTGCAAAAAAAACCAGAAAAACCAAGCACTGATTTGCTTCTAAGATAAACTGTTGCCTCTGATTTTGTGGAGGGCAGAGGACTGGTTTCATTCCAACAGTTGTCTTGAATGGACTCTCCCCTCCCAAAATAAGACTGGCTTTTATGGGATGATAGGGCTTCTCAGGGCGGTGCACCTCCCAAACCCCATGGCAGCAATTCCTGCTGCAGCTGCTGGCTGGGCTGGGCTGGGTGGGCACAGCAGGAATGGTGCCATATGGACCTCATCTCCACCACAGGGTGTTTTTCCACTTTCAAAGTATGCTGCATTCTTGGCTCTTGTCCCAGCATGGCTGCATAGCTGGAATTCCTGGGCTGCTTGAGCAGGAGGAAGGAGGGGTCTTCCTGGCTGCTTTCTGCGAGATGCAACAGTACAGAGAGACTGGAAGTTGAGAGCAGCTTGGCTAATTAATGCCTGCACACCAAAGGCTTCTCTGTGCTGTTCCCTTCGTTTAGCAGCGAGCTGAGAGGATGCCTGCATCACTTAATGATTGTTTGTGGGTCACACTGGATCTCATCTCTGGGGCAGCAGATTGCTGAACAACTTCTCGAGAGCCATTGCAGTGTGTTGGTGGGAGGTGCACGTGCTCCATCCACTTTGCTCCTGTTCTTTTTCTGGGGGATGAGCCTGGGACTCCGGGCATTAGTTGGCATATTAGCGCCAGTGAGATCATGAAATACCAGGGAGACAGGGCAGGCATAATGAATCTGCTGAGCCAAGATGATGTCATGAGCCCAGAGTCTTACGAGGGATTTAGTGTTTTGTGCCATGCAAGTGAAAATGAATAAATGTAGAGCATTTATCCAGGCAGAAAGTAAATACAGAGATTAGACTTGTCATTGTTACTGAGGCAGCTCCAAAAGCAGACAGTGTCCCTGGAGCCAGGGCTACTCAGCCATGAAGAAATGGGCAGGAAGGGAGAGGAACCTGCCCTAGCACCGGTCTCCTTTTAGCCACAGGCATGCAGTAGGGATTTGCATTTTGATTATTCTTCAGTAGTCTTTTAAGCTCTCTTTCCAAAGCATCTCCCTCTGCTCCTCTGTATTATGGCCCATGAGTTGCATTGGGTGCACAGGGAGCGCTGCCAGAGCTGCAGCACGACGGAGGGGAGCTGGAGGATTGAGCTGGTAGAAGGTAAAGTCTGGCCTCTGACCTTTGTTTCCTTTCCTGCTTGTAGTGGAGAAACTTCTGTTCCCAAGCCAGGAGCCTGAGGCAATTCTCAGTTCAGATTTTTAAGCTTATATATTGTAGAGAAGGGAAAAAAATACCACCGCCAAGCTGGGTGCTGCTGCAGGGTACAGGTGATGGACTGAGCTTTGGTTTTTATCAATTGAATTCAGTTCTCCTGAATTTTCCAATTCATGCTTTTGTTTCCCTTTCTCCTTTTACTCTGTCACTTTTCAGCAAGCTGAGCTGCTTGGGAGCTCTGTAGAGCAGGAGATTTTTCACTGAGGGTGGTGACACACTGCAACGGGTTGCCCAAGGAGGCTGTGGATGCCCCATCCCTGCAGCATTCAAGGCCAGGCTGGATGTGACTCTGGGCAGCCTGGGCTGCTGGTTGGTAACCCTGCACATAGCAGGGGGCAGGGGATTGAAACTAGATGAGCATTGTGGTCCTTTTCAACTCAGGCCATTCTGTGATTCTCGGATTCTGTGATATTGCTCCAAGCAACCACCACAGCTGTATTTCAGCCTGGTTTGGGATGACGCGGTTATTCCTTCCTTCAGTCTGCAGGGCTACAATGCAGATCTTACTAGTGGCTGAGCTCTACAAGTCGCAAGATAAACTCCCCTCCAGCAGGTTAAGCATTGTTGTCTTTTCATTATTTATTTTTCTGGTGGGTGTCAGCTGTGTTCTGTTCTTGTTTTGTAGTCACCCTGATGGCAAATCTTACTAGCACCAGATGTTAAAAGGCAGAGGATTGCTCATGTTTTTCTTGGCACAGCATACTCCCACTGCACCCTGCTTAATATTATCTGAACAGTAATCTCATGATTAGGAGAGATGGTGAAATGAAGCTTTATGTAGATGATCTCCTTTCATCTCTTCAGCTGACTCTTGGAGGCACTGCATTAAAGGATTGGTTTGATAAGGAATTCAGGGCTCCTGAGGGCAATTATCATTTTTACTCCCAGTATTTCTCAGATGGAAAGGAGTAAAAGCATCTACTGCTGTAATCTCCTTTATCCTTCAGTGTAGCTCTGAAGGCACAATCCAGTCACCCCTCACTGTGAGCTGTGTATTCTGGAACAGACTTGACACAGTAGCTGTTAAATTACAGGGCTGGAGCAAACGGCATCTTAAATTGGGATCCAGTGGAAAATCCCAGCAAAGCAGTAAGCCCTCAGAGTGCTTTTCCCTGCTGAGATGCTTCCAGCACACTCACAGCCATGGTTTCTGTATACCTTCGCATCCCTTCAGCCAGCCTGGTGCTGTTAGCTGTGCTCTGTTGCTCACTGCTGCAGCACCAGGTGTCCCTCCGTGCTGACCACCCCATTGCCACCATTCATCCTGCCCTGGGCTGCTGTTTGTGGAAGGGCTCACCTTGCCATCAAACTTGCCTGCCCAGGTAACAATTCCTGCTCTAACACGTGGAGGAGAAAATAAGGCTGCCTCTGTTCAGGACTGCCTCTGGGCATAGAGGAGCCTTTGTTAGAATTACCTTGTGCTGTCACTGCTAAGCTACCGCTGATCTAATCACGTTTTCTCTTGTCTGTCTCCTTCCTTTTCCCATCTTTGTTTTTGTGTTGTTCATCTCTGCGTCCCCGTAGTACAAGTCTGTGTTTAGGTCCTACTCGCAGGACTTTGTGCCTCACAACCAAGTCTCCGTACCTCCTTTCCTGTCTTCTACCTCCTCCTCCTGCTCCACCGCACCCTTTCCGCCCGTCCACCCGTCTCCAAGCTCTGACCTCGCAGTGCCAGCCACAGCCAGCCCGTCTCCCAGCACTGGGGATGTGCCAAACTCCTCTTCACAGGAGAGCAGCTTTAACGGGAGTGCTCCTGTCTGCCTTCCTTCTGAAACCTCTCTCACTGATTCTCTGCAGACGCCTTCGGTGAGACTATCCAAAGAGGTGATCGTGTGCACCTTAACGCAAGGCCGGGCTTGTTTTTGTTTTAAAGAAATGTCACTTGTGTTTATAGCTGTGATTTGGTTTCCAAACTTGCGTGTGAATGCAGAGAGTACAAAAAAGATGGCTGCAAATCTGAGCAACCCCACAGGTTTGAGAGGTTGGAAACATAAAATGTCAAATGCTGGTGAAGGGGAGAGGAAGAGAAGTTGCTATAGCTTCCTGCAATTGTGATATGAATCAGAGGAAGGTAAAGGAGTGCTTGGAGAGGTTGGCTCCCAGCAGTGCTTCACATCTTGCAGGAGCTGCATCTCTGCTCTCCTGTTCCCTGAGTCCCTGGTGAGCCCCAGGAGCAGTGGCTTAGCTCAGCTCTGCACTTTCCTTACATAAGCCACTACTTTCTGTGGGCTCCTGCTGTCCCCAGCTGCCAGCACTGTTGGCACTCAGTGCAAAGTGTAACGCAGTGCTGAAAGCTGTTCCCTCAGTTCAGGGTCCCTGGTTGGTTTAGCAGACCAGCAGGCAGGTTACTTCTTTAAGCACCTCATTTACAAGGCAATTTCTCATCTGTGTGTTGCAAAACCTAGGGTTGATGGGATCAGAGCCTCAACTCTGCCTCTTCACAATACTTAGAACAGGGACATACACCACAGAAATGAGTTTTTCACCTTTTAGACCTGACCTCGCTGTTGCATCTTTGTTGCCTCGGGTCCCTGTCAGCACCCAGCAGCCCTCAAGTCTGGCTCAGCCTGGCTCCTCGGGGCTGGCAGCAGCAGAACGGCGCTTGTGCTCAGGCTCTGAACGCTTCACAGCTGCACGCTGGATGTCCTCGTGTGCACTGTGCACCTGCACAGCTCCCATAGCAGCTCTCGCTATGCAGTGCCTGCTGCTGTCCTGCTGCAGCTCAGCGCCTTCAGGACAGTCCTTGACAACTCCGGTGTGGTCACCTCTGGGAATGTGCAGCTGGAGGACGGGCTGCCACCTCGGTGATGGCACTGCAAGGCACAAGTGCTTGCTACCAGCCAACGCTGCCCAGGGACACCGTCACGTATCTCCTTTCATCCTGTCTCCCCTAGAGTGAAAACGCCAGTGAGGAGGCTGGTGAGGGTGAATACGTCAATCTGTATTCCTCTGGCCAGAGCAACGGGGAACTCCCTCATTCTGGAGGAGTAAGTAACCGGGAGAGGCCACGCACTGGGAAGGGGCTGCCTGGTGCATGCTGAGCTCACACTGTGGCCCGGCCCCTGCACACCCCGGGGTGCCCGGTCCCCTTGCTGGTGGTCCCTTCGCTTGCCCTCTCCTGGCTTGCAGGCTTTGGTGGCCTCCTGTTGTGGTGCTGAGAGCCCCTGCAGGACGGAGGGATGGCTTTGCCTTCCTCCCTGGCCCGTTTGTGCTTTGCTGTTTGTTTGGAGCTGCTTGCGTAAGGTTCCCTTTTAGAGAGCTGCACTCTGACCAGCACGGTCTTCTGTCTGTGTTTACTCTTGTAATCGCTTTGGCTTTCCTATTTCAATAAATAAAGCCTTGTGCTCCCCTTTTTTAATTCTTATTTTTCCTTCTCCACTTGGCTACAGAATGATTGATCAGCAGCACCGTAACCACGCACTGCTTCTTCCTTCACGCCAGCCTCCTATCTGAGCTGTTCCCTTCAGATGGGGCATACCCCATGGCAGGGAGGTGCCACCTTCCTGCTGTATCACCTCAGAGCTCTGTGCTGCTCCTTTTGCCAGCCCTCACCTAGAGTGGCCCATCTGCAGGATGTTTCCAAAACCTGTTGGCACTAAATATCCAAGGAGACAGTGCTCCCATCATTCCCCTTCATGAGGCAGCCCTGGGCAATCACTAACTGATTCTTAACTTGGAAGCAAAGGACTTCACAGATAGATGCAGCCTGGAGAAATTCTAGAGACACTGACAGATCTCAGCTCCCTGGTGCACCTTCCCCACCAAAGCTGGGCAGGGTAGAGGTGCTTTCAGTCCTGTCAGTTCCGTAGATGGAATGTCCAAGGTCTGCTTTGCATGATGTCAAATAATCCTAAACTCCAGCACTGTTAGATTAATATCCCCATTTGCCATTCATGGCTGTTTCTCTCTTTAATAAATGGCTAATTTAAAGTGCTGCAACTCTATTTGCTCTGAGCTGTCCACCTGCTGTTCCATGCTGTGTTCAGGTGGTTCTGCTTGTTTGCATTAGATTCATTTCCACAGCCATGAATTGTGAAGTGGAAACGTTCCATCATTGTGTGATGGAGGAGAAGGGAGTAGGAAAGGCACATTGCATCCCCCCCTCCCCAGGGCAGTCTGGTCTTTTGGGGGCTGTAACTGAGAGGGGAACTGAAACTGGAGAGCTTGGAGCTGGCTGTGTCTGTTCTGATTAAAGCAGAAGGCAAACGTATTTCAACAGTAAGGCTGAAAAAAAAAAAAAGCAGTGAGAGGGTTAAAATTCAAGACAACAGCTGACTTGTGTTGTAACTTTCAGCATCATTTCACAATGTTAAAGGCAAACAATACTAATTACAGTAGTCTCCAGAGATGGTCCCAAATTTCCTATCTAATTAACTTCTGTGTTTTCCTGGCATTTGGCATTAACTTGCATCAATCTTTAACTGCTCTGAAGGAATTTACAGTAAAGAGACATTTAGAGGCAGTAAGACTGAAAATGCAGGCTTGGCTGTGGTGCAGGATCCAGGACAATAATGAAAAACTTCCTTCTCTTTGCAGGAATCTCCCTCTCTCAAAGACGGCCATTCCAAAGACTCCACTTCAAACAGCAGTGCTATGGGGAAGGAAGGCAAAGATGGTGCTGAGAGGTGAGCCTGGCTCCCCTGTTACAGCTGCTTCCCTGCTGGAGGTGTGCAGAGCACCAGCAGTGTTCCTCTCTCCCTTTCCTCTGCCAGGGCTCCTTGTGGCCACCTCTTCTGTCCTCAGCCCTTCAGATTTTAAGCCCACTGGGTTTAAGCTGGGTTTTTTTGCACAGTGGCAGAGCAGTGAGATCCTACTGCAGAAGGAGGATGAAGGCAAGATGGCATTACTTAACTCAGCGAGCCAGTAGGGGTTAATGCAGCCTGTGTTCGTCACTGCAAGGCCATCTCATTGGCAGTCCTGTCATAGGCACTGGCTGCTCCCTCCTGCTTCCAGGGAAACGTGAAAAAAGTCTGTGTGTCACTGCTGGGAAATAGTCTTCAAGAAGGGAATTTCTTCCTAACCCTGCTAGTTAAAGGCTGGCAGAGGCCCCAGTGCAGGAGCCTTTATATCCCTTCTAATGCTCTTAGCTATCATTTGCCTATGTAAATGAAGAGGTGCGGGCTGTAACAGATGGGCTTCAGTAGGAGTGGAGTGAGTGCTTCCCTGCTGCTTGAGATTGCTCTTCAATTGCATTTCTAAGGCAAAAATAGAGAACAGCATTGTTTTGTGTGTGACAGTCAACTTCCCTCCTCCTTTTTTCTGCAGTTGGTTTGAGGGTTTTAATCCCTGCAGTGAAGGAGACAATACAGCAGTGCTCTGCAAAGCTCAATGCAGACTGTTGCACCAAATTCTGACCTGTGCCTGGGGAAAGCAGTAAGGGATGTGCAGTTATTTCATTTTCTTATGAATGCAGGCATAGAGAACGTGCCCAGGTGCAAAAGCAAAAAAGTGATCAGGATGCCAAATTTTCCTGCAGAAATAGTATATATATGTATGTATACATACATATATTTTGGTCAGCTCACAGCTGATAGCAGCATTTAGAGCATGTTTAGTCTCTGTACATTTGAGGGAGGGTTTAGATTTGTGTGCACTAATAATCTGGTGAATTGAGGAGATGTGAAAGTGTGTATTCATGCAGGGCATAGTAAAATCCTTTCTGCCAGAAATCCAGGCAAGTCCTAAAGCTTTGTCTGTTTTTCAAGAGGTGCACAAAGTAGCAGAATTACTGCTAGACATTTAGGCTTGTTTGCAAAAGCTTTACCTCCAGGCCTTCTGTGTACTTACTGCTACTTAGTGAGGATCTGTACACTGAGAGCTCAGGTGGACTCAGCATCCCTCGGTCATCAGATGGGCGATGACACTGATGGTTGTTTGCCTGTTTTTTTTACAGGCAGCAGCAGTCACCAGATGCTTTGGAATCGTCACAGTTGGAGGAAGAAGTGGATGAGCTCTCCCTTATTGACCACAGTGAAATTATGGCTAGGTTAACACTGAAGCAAGAGGTAAGTTCCTTCAGGGTATTGTTCATGTTCTTTGGTTTATATTATATTGAAAGCTGATTTTCTGAAGGCATGGTTAGCAGGTTTCCCAAGCAGGGCATTGCATTACTGATGGAGAAGTCAAAATAAGAAATGACTGTTTCTGGCTTGGGTGCATTCCCAGACACTGTTGCTTACTATGCTCTTCAACCAAGCTGTATTTTCATGCAGCTTGAGGGAATACACAAGCTTTTGAAGCTTTCAGATTTGTCAAGGGCTATCCTGAACAATAGAAAGAATTTGTCATTTACTGACACTGGGCCACTGAGAGAGAGAATGAGAATCTATTGCTGATTCCATAAGTATATTTTATGTGTCTTGCCAGAGAGTCACTTGAATTCACATTTTAGACATAGCTGCTTAGTGGCTGTAAGTCTGTGGGTTTTTTTTCCAGTGTTTTGCATATTAAACTAACAGGCTTAGATAAGGGAAGCCAGGCACAATTCCAGTCTGACCTGCAGGAATATTTCCATCAACTTTAAAAAAAACAGCACACGAGAACAACAGTGATTGCTGATCGTTTTGGAGTAGCAGCCCTTAACTTTTTTCTTCCTTTTTTCTTCCTTTATGGTCTGTGTGTTATAAACAATATAGTACTGCTCCTGCACGCCATTTCCTGCAGCATGGGAACCACTGGCTGACTGATAGATCAGTTCTGCATATTTTCAGTTGTGAATAGCAGGAGCTAAAAGAGGGGTGTTCTCAGAGCGATAAGGCAGGGGTCAAGGAGTTAGTGGGGCTGTTCTTCTGCTCCTGGTTATTGGATTGCTTCAGGTGACCTCCAGCCAAATAGGTCCAGGTTAGGGAATTAACATGCTAGTTTTTTGATGTTCCAGGGGCATGCAAGTTGAATGCACGACCTCTCACCCCAGCAGCCAGTGTGGTACATGATCCTGCACTTTGAGACAGTTCACACAGAGCTGCTGCTCTGTTAATGGTCTTTTGGGAGCATTTGGGAATCTGGGATATTTCTCTTCATTCTTCTGTGGCCAGAAGGTTCAGCTTTCACTGTGTTTCACAGCCTGGTTTTAAGGAGTCAGAGGCCCTGAGTGGTGATCGACCCAGATCCTCATCTGCGACACCAAATGTTTGACTCAAATTCCAGGATTAGCCCAGCACTTTGAGATCATGTCCCAACTTGAGCTGCAAACAGTGCCAGGAACAGTGTGTGCTCTGCCAGTTAGTGCTGAGTTTGAGCCCCAGAGATGGTAAACCAGGCCGAAGGGAGCTTGGATTGTGTGTAAAGCTCTTCTGTTCTCACTGCAGGGAGATGATGGGCCAGATGTCCGTGGTGGATCTGGAGATATTTTGTTGGTGCATGCAACGGAGACCGACAGGAAAGGTACAGGGGATGCCCCAAAACAAAGCTGGGGAGTATGACCTGATGTGGGCTTTTGCTGCTGGGCTTCTGCATCTCTGTGGTGTGAGCAGTGACGATGTGACTCTTGCTGCTGGACCAGGATGGAGAGCTCTGCATTAATCATCCCCTGAGTTGCAGGGAGGGGGGATTGTGCTTATCTTTGGTGAAACAGAGGTAAGCTGGATAAGCGCCTGGTCATTCCATTTAACAGCAGGGCTGGAATTAACTCCTCATGGCCCTGGAGCCTGCTGAGGGCAGGCAGATGCTGTCTTCTGAATGTGCAGAAGTGATGGGGGCTTTTGTAGCCATGGCCATCAGGCACTGCTGCCACCACCTCCTCATATTGCCTTGCTTCCTCATCCAGCTCTGTACCACTACACCTAGACCAGGGCAGGGAGGGAATTTACTGCACGTGAAATGAGATGTGGAGGAGAGAGCCAGGGGTGGCAGCTCCTAGCTCTATTTGTTACAACCCCACTCTCAATCCAGCTCCAGTCACCACCCACGTGGAGCAGCTCCCTTCCAAGAGCTGTGACACACACAGTCATTGCAGCATTTCCAGAGAGTGATTTTGAACCTGCCAAATGCATTTGTGCTGATGGCCTTTAACCAGAATTGATCTCCTTATCTCCTGGGATGCAAGGCGAAATGTTCTAACCCTCTGAACCACTCAGCTCTCATATTTTAGAGGTTTGATAGCCAAAGGGGAGATATCTTTCATGTGCATTTTTAAATGGCAGCTCTTATACTGTAGCATAAGGTGTTTCCAATTACTTATAGCACCATTCAGCTAGCAGGAAAATCCTTCCCTTGGCAGATATATTTCCCTATTTACGTCAGGCATCAAATCCAGGCACAGAGGACCAAAGTTAGGAACGTACTAGAGAGAATTCATTGCCCTGTGGTTAGATAAGTACATTAAAAAAAAAAAAATCTAAATGGAAATGCCCCGTGTAGAAAAGCCAAAACTGGAATAGAGAAGCTCTGATTTACTCTTGCTGTTCTCCAGAACATTGGAAGAACTTCCCCACCGTGTTTAAAGACCACCAGTTGACAAAGGGATGTGTGCTCAACCACCACTTCTGAATGGGGAGCTCAGAGGAGGCTGCAGGCAGTGAGGTGAAGGCTGAGGAGAACCTCTCGAGATGAGGAAAAAGCAGAGCAGGATTCTAAATGCACAGCAGGACAGGGAGAGAGGATGGGCAGAGGGGGAGCAGTGCATTTCTCAGGGCAGTCGCACAGCTCAGCCTTGCATGCTCTGCCAAGCTGCTGATCTGAATGGAGCACGGAGGAATTTGTGCTATGCTAACCCAGTGTTTGGGTGACTGAGAGGGTTAATGAATTAAGCTTACAATGAGAAGAATTCAGGGCTTGTAAATCAATCAGCCAAACAGCACAGAGGGGTATAGTTAAGAGGCTTTCCTTTAAAGATGAATTTCTTGGCAGCTTGGAGTGCCAAAGCAGACCAGCTGTATTACCTCACGTTGCCTTTTGGGCAGATGGGAACCCAGAATAAATGTAACTCCACGCCCTGTTGCATGATGCTTCTTGTCCATTTGAGTTTTCTAAAAGAGCTAAATGGAATAAGGGATGAAAGGAGACTTGTGGTCTTTGGGATCAAAATCCATGGTCAGTTAAGTGCTCGCAGCCGCGTGCGAGTGCAGGATTACAGCTGGAGCAAGCCTAGGGCTCACCCCTGACATGACCACCCAGCCTCCAGCTTTACAGCTTACATCTGATCTCTTTAGCCAAGAGCCAGCAGCACGCTCTGCTTTCACAGCACGAGGAAGAAGCATCTCTGTGAGGCTTCTGCCAAGAGAAACACTGCAGGTAGCGACACACGGCTCTCACGCTGTTCCTTGCTTTCCCACCCTTCCCTGCACAGTGGGCTCACGTTCTAGCATGTGGGTGTGGGTGTGGGGTGCTCCCTGTCCTGGTGGAACATGCACAGCCAAGCCTGGGCAGGCACAGCAGGAGCCTTCCCCTCTGGGTGCTGCTGAGCCTCTCCAGTGGTTGCAGCGGGGCAGGCAGGGCAGTGTGCCATCGCACTGCAGATGCTGACTGCAGCACAGCTTGATTTGATATCAGGCCTAATTAACTTCTGTTTTGACCACAAGGCAGTTTTTGTGTCGTGGCAGGGTCACACATGGGGCAGAATCAGTTTTTGCTGTGCAATTTACTCTTTTGGTTGAAAATAATCAGATATTTACACTGCCCTGGGGCAGACTTCCTGGAGTACAGCAAGGGCAGAGGGGGCTGCAGCACCAAGCCATCACACTGAAATATGTGTGTTCCTGTTCAGGAGGGAAGTGCCTGTCTTCTGCAGGGCTCTGTGCTGCCTGAGCAGTAAAGGCAGAACAGGCACCCACCTCTCATTGTGTAGATCTTCTCTTTAAAGCATCCCCAGGGCTTTCAGCACATTTGAATTTGACCTATTTGACAGTCCCTGTCCCATAAACAGGTGTGTTTCATCAATCCCTTTGGTGGTCGCATAAGCTTGAAAGCAAATTGGAGTGCTGCAAATGGGAGTCAGCCTAAGGGACAGGGCAGCTCCTGCTCTTGTGCCTAAGGGTCCATCTGCTGGTGAGAAACAACAGCACAGCTTTTCAGTACATCTCATCCTTGTCAAGATGTGTCTGTCTCAGTGTCCTCTTCCTGTGAGGCTGGATTCAATCTTACATGAAGCTTCATTTTCTGCAGGCAGGGTTGACTGAGGCTTCCTTGTCTTTCTCCGTAGATCTGGTGCTGTACTGTGAAGCCTTCCTGACTACATACAGGACATTTATTACCCCTGAAGAACTCATCAAGAAGCTGCAGTACAGATATCCTTTTCCATGAAAGGCAGTTCGCCCCAGGGAGCAGAGCAGAGCAGTCGTCAAGGAGTGAGCTGATGGTGAACTGGCTGGTCACAAAGCTGCTGAGAACACTGTGCTGTGATCACCCTGGAGGTGCCCTGAGCAGCACTTCCTTCATCTCTGCTGCCTGCAAATAGGAAATGCCACAGGGCAGGTCTGTAGGGAGCAGAGTGCTGGACCTGTGTGGTGTCCTGGGGGCCCTGGCAGGACAGAAGAGCAGTTCAGATTTTCTGTACAGAACTGGGGAAGTGGTCATTTGTTTGTCCATTCTGGTCTGTAGAATGGGGATCGTGTGTCCATCCTTCCAGAGGAGCTGAGAGAATTGCTTGGGCAGATGTAGGTTAACACCAGCGATGGCTAAACTGTCAAGTCCTGTTCTCCCTCTTCTTACAAGAAATGCAACACAGAAGATAACGTCCTCTTAGCCTCCAGCTCTGAGCTTGTATCTGCTAACGAGGCCAGGGCTGGACGCACAGTGTGAGTGTCAGTGCTCCTGGCAGCACAGAGCAGGCTGCTCGCTGAGCAGCTGCACGCAGTGCCTCCCTTGGCTCTGTCCTTGTCACTCCCAGAGCCTGGTGGGCTCTGCTCCTGCTCACACCCACAACAAAAGCAGCCTGATGTCACCCTGCCCTGAGCCACAGCTCATCACTGCCATCTGCAGCAGGGACAGCCTCTGTCTCTCCTGCTGGGATCAGTGCTGCCAAGGACACAGCAAAATCTCCTTGAAGAGTAACTGTCGGTGGAAGTATTGGCTGGGGCACTCCTGCAGGCCCTCTTTGATATTTGGCTTGCAGTTTCCCTCTCCATTTGTGCACCTGGTGGAAACGTGCTCAGCCTCTGCTGTCTCCTTCACTGCCACTCCCCATTTGGGCAGAGAGGAAGGTGGAGGTCTGAGATCTGTCTGATCTGAGATGTCTCGGTCTGGTGTGGGAGATGGCAGCAGAGGAATGTGGCTCATTAAATGCCACCTTAGAGACAATAGTCTGAGGGTCCACCTGTTCTGCTAGCATCAGTTCTGCAAGGCACAGGGACTCCCTCACACCCCTGCTGCATCCCTGGTGGCAGCTCAGTGCCATGTTAATTAGAGCCATAGCAGTGTCCTCCATCTCCTAGAAACTCAAGACCAGTTTTAATCAAGATGGAACAACACCCGTTCTGATGTTCCTCAGGGCAGCTGTTAATTGTTCTAGCGGTTGATTCTTTAATTTGCAACCAACATATGAGAAGTTTTGCCACTTCCCAGATACGTTTAAGAAGCGAGTCAGTAAGAACACCTTCTTCGTGCTGGTGAGAGTGGTGGATGAGCTGTGGTGAGTTGCCTTCATAGTTTTGGGGTGGGAGCTGCACAGTCTGTAACAATACCAGCATCCTGGAGTCGCAGTCCTGATGCCTGCCCTGGCTTTGCCATCTTTCAGCTTAGTGGAGCTGACAGAGGAGATTCTCAAGCTGCTGATGGACCTGGTGTTCCGGCTGGTCTGCAACGGGGAGCTGAGCCTCGCCAGAGTGCTGCGCAAAAACATCCTGGACAAAGTGGATCAGAAGAAGATGCTGAGATACGCCAATTCCATCAAACCTCTTGCAGCCCGAGGGGTGGCAGCCAGGTGAGAAAGCACACGTGTGGCTATTTCTTGGTCCTTTCTCAGTAACAGGGCATCCTTTTTATTTGTACACCAGGCTTTTCTTAGTCCAAAATAGAAGAAAGGAAAGAAAACAAGTTACATTTTCATATTCTTTCTTCTTCTTCTTTTTTTCCTGCAGACCGGGGACCTTGCATGATTTCCACAGTCATGAAATAGCTGAGCAGCTGACCCTCCTGGATGCTGAACTCTTCTATAAAATCGAGGTACAGAGACAAGGACAGGAGGAGGGCAGAGGGAGAGATCTGCACACATCCCCTCTGCAATCTCTGGTATTCCCAGCACACTGCAGAAGACAGCTGAACTTGTGTCAGCAAAAGACTGTGACCACAGGCTGTGGCTGGGAATCCTAAGGCAGAAATCCCATGATAACGTGTGGTATTCTCCCACCCCTCTGTTTTTCTTCCTGGGCAGATACCAGAAGTTTTGCTTTGGGCAAAAGAGCAAAATGAAGAGAAGAGCCCCAACCTGACGCAGTTCACAGAGCACTTTAATAACATGTCCTACTGGTAAGGAGCTCACAGCACCCATGGCACTGAGCTGTGCCTAACCTCCCCTGTCTTAGAGCTCAGGATATTCCTTGCAGAGTTGGGTTCTTGTAAGTGGGATCACATGGGTGTTTTTGGTCAGGAAGTAGATACAAGTTTGGTGAAGCTCAAGAGAAATAAAATGATGAGTTCTGGAGGGCACTGTAACATGGAGGAATTATTGTCAGTACCACTGAGCCCTTCAAACAAACGTTCCCCTTGCAAATGAATGCACTCTGTGTATGATTGTTGTTCTCACCCTTGGAATTACTCCTCGCTCAGTTTAAGTTGGAGATATCAGAAACTCAGTGTTGTTGATCCATCCTCAATAGTTGTTTCATAAATGAAACGAGAGGAAATCTGAGATCTGCTTCAGTGAGTTTATCCTTCTCTCTCTGTTCTTCCAGGGTCCGTTCCATAATAATGCTGCAAGAGAAAGCCCAAGACCGAGAGAGGCTGCTCCTTAAGTTTATAAAGATTATGAAGGTATCAGCTCAGTGCTGTGAATCACCCATGCTGTTCTTTAGCAGCAGAGTGGGACATGCCAGATGGTAAAGCTGTTTTATGTTCTGAGGCATTACAGATCTCTGTGTAACTCATATATTTTCCCTCTTCACAGCACTTACGAAAGCTGAATAATTTTAATTCCTATCTGGCCATTCTTTCTGCACTGGATTCTGCACCCATCCGAAGGCTGGAGTGGCAGAAACAAACCTCGGAGGTGAGGAACAGTACAGGCTTTCATATGTAGGGGAAAAAGGATAACTGTGGTTGTGATGTGAAGCAGCAGGGTGAGTTACAACAGCTCAGCAGCATGACAGGGTGGAGGGATGGCGGATGAATGCTCTCCAGTGGGCGTAATGGCACAGTGCTGGCAGCCTGCAGTGCTGCAGGGCTTTCTAACAGCTGTAGAAGTGCCAGCACTGCCCCGGGCTGAGGGAACAGCTGCTTCCTCCCTGTGCAGTGCAGCTTTGGTGGAGCTGAAGGCAGTGTGTGAACACAGCAGGGTCAGACTGAGCAAACACACTGGTGGTGGTTGCAGGGTGGCATTAACTCCCTGGGAGAGAGGTTACAAAGATAAAGGGGTGACTGGGGGCTTTGTGTTCTGCCAGGGCCTGGCTGAGTACTGCACACTGATTGACAGCTCCTCATCCTTCCGCGCCTACCGAGCTGCCCTGGCTGATGTGGAACCTCCTTGCATCCCATACCTGTGAGTTGGTGCTTCCTTTTCTTCTGCCTTTACTTCTGTGCATTCCAACAGTTCCTTCAGAGGTTTCTCAGCAGTTTCAGCCCAGCTGAGCACTTAGCCTCTGCCCTGCATCTAAAATGACACATCGTGCCACATCAGACCCACGTGCCCCCTCTGAGCAGTCTGTCCTGCAGCAGGGAGGCAGCCCTTGGCACAGCTCCCTTTTGTGACGCTGCATTCCCAGTACAGGATGACTGGATTTCTCCATCCACTGCCACCAGTGAGGATCTCATTCCCTTTTATAACTGTGGATCAGAGCTCAGACCACCTGCTGCTGCTGTTTCAGATGCTTTTTGTCTGGACTTTTTCTTTTAGTGAGGGTGACTGGCAAAGGAAAGACTCTGGCTGAATCTTCATCTGACACCTTTTAACTATACTTTCTTTGGGGTCTGTGCACTGCAGGACAAGTTTTCCATGAGCTGCAGTGGGTCCCACAGCTTCAAGCTGCTTCTTGCTCCTCTGCAACAGCTCAGATTCTTATGGCTGAGAAGAGCAGTTAAATTAAGAATCTCCCTTAGCAAATACAAGTGCTTCATCCTGTTGACTTGAAGCCCTTCCCTTCTTCTGCAAGGACTCTCTGATCGAGATAGCACATTTGCTCTGCTTTTGCACCAGTAGAACTTCTGGTCTCGCTTTCTTCCATTGCACAATTCCTGAAGGGAGGAATGTCACCTGGTGGGGGACTGGGGAGGGCTGCAGGGAATGCAGAGGGTGGGAATGAACACAGCTATTCTTGCTCTCGGCTGCACTTAACACCTGAGCACCTCCGTATCTGCTGCCGGGGAGACATTTCCCTCCAGTTTAAAACTGGAGCTGGTCAGGCTCTGTGTGGCTGCCCTTGGCTGGCTCTCCTGCCCATGTATGGCAAACCTCTATGCTTGTTTGCCTACTCTCTGGCTCTATGCCCTTTTCTCTCTTTCAGAGGCCTAATTCTGCAGGACCTGACCTTTGTTCATTTGGGAAACCCAGACTACATCGACAGCAAGGTGAACTTCTCCAAGCGCTGGCAGCAGTTTAACATCCTGGACAGCATGAGGTGCTTCCAACAGGTGTAAGTGCAGCTGTGGGGGTCCGAGCCGGGCACTGTGGGGGCACAGGAGGGACAGCATCGAGGTGGAGATGTAAGGGGACCTGGCAGTGACACGGTTACAGTGCTTGTGGTCTGCTCCCCTCCCTGGGTTAGATAAGATTACTGAGTTGTGATGGTGTTTTTCCACTATTGCTTTTAAAATCCACTGTCTTTATGTTTTCCTACTCTTTCTTTCCATGGCAGATTTTGCTGTGGCTGAGAACAGAGGTTCTCAGGAAAACAAAGGGCTTTCCTCAGTGAATATAGAATGGCCTGGGTTGAAAAGGACCACAATGCTCATCCAGTTCCAACTCCCTGCTGTGTGCAGGGTCCCCAACCAGCAGACCAGGCTGCCCAGAGCCACATCCAGCCTGGCCTTGGATGCCTGCAGGGATGGGGCATCCACAGCCTCCTTGGGCAACCTGTTCCAGTGCCTCACCACCCTCCGGGTGAAAAACTTCCTCCAAATATCCAACCTAATGATGTTTTGTCCCCTCGGTGTCACAGCCCATCACAAGTGGGCTCAGGCGACACAGAACACAGCGCAGGATCTGTGTGGGGACGTAGCAGGGGGTCCCTCAGCCCCTCGTTTAACTGCAGCCCTTCTGTGTGGTTCTGCAGACATTACGACATCAAGAGGAACGACGACATCGTGTCATTCTTCAACGACTTCAGCGACCACCTGGCAGAGGAGGCCCTGTGGGAACTGTCCCTCAAAATCAAACCTCGGAACATTACAAGGCGGAAAACAGACCGGGAAGAGAAAACTTAGGAAGAGGGTTTGTGCGAGCGAGGAGAATTGCTCGGCAGGCGCACAGAGGGCAGCTATGAGACTGGAGTTCAGTATTTGTACCTGTTACGGGGTGACACAGCCTCTCTCCGGGCTGGCAGCGACTTCGGGGCTGTGAGCGTTGGCAGAGCGGTGGCCGCCGTGCGGACGGCAGCAGGCTGAGAGCGCGCAGCGCTCGCCTCCCTCCTCCTCCCATCCCTCTGTGCCATCGAGCAGCTTTTCCACCAGGGAGAGAGCTTTGTGGAAGGAGGGTCCCAGGCAAGTGTGTTACTGATGGTGTTTGGAAACACGCGGGCTTTTGTCTTCATCCAGGACAGAGGATGAGCAGAGCTCGGCGCCCACGGGCTCATCTCCGCCGTGGTGTTCAGCAGACAGTAGCTGAGGCTTTTCCCAGGAAGATGGGGCTGAAGGAGCCCCGCTGCCTGCCGGAGGGCTGGGCTTGTTTACAAGGGGCTTCAGTTTGCCCCAGATCTCTCTCGCCTTCTCAGTGGGGTGAAGGCACCGCTAATGGATACAGAAGAGGCACTGAATGGTGGGCAGGGAGCCGCCGTCTCCAGCCATCGTACCCCCTCCTCCTCTCAGATCTCACTATTTAAGCCACAGTGATCCCTCTGACCCCTGGAAATGTTGATAGCCGTGGTACCGCGCTCACCTGCCCTGTGGGCCCGTATCTTGTAGTGATGGTACTAGCTTTTGCACAGTAAATTCTGTAGTATATGACTGTAAATATTAGTACTTAGAATCCATTGGAGATTTTTCTTTTTGATGCATGTCTGAATACCGATGGGTTTATAGGAAAAAAAAAAAGTGCAAGACATGATGTGTATAAAACTCACAAGCAGTGACAGCATCGTTCCGAGTGCTGGAAGGAAGGAGGCTGAGGGCTGCCCAGGGGCACTGGAAGAGCCAGCAGCCCCTCCCTGGGGCTGGAAGGAGCCCAGTGCTCCTGGCCCCCTCCATTCCTCTCCTTGTTGCCAAATGGTTCTCATCCCAATGACCCGTGGTGCTGTGCTCAGAAGCCCCTTTATGCCCCATCCCCAGCACTGCCCGCACCCCGCGCTCCCCTCCTGTTCCGTGTGCCTTACTCAGCCCTCCATCCCCACTTTGTGTCCCCATCCCCTCTCCCAGGCTGTCCCCCCCGCTTCCTTTCTGGCCCCATTCAGTTGTTTACAGCGTGGGTCGTGGTTCTGAGCACGTGCTGTAGGTTTTACCCCCTCGCAAGGCCTTCTGCAGAGCCATGTCCCAGGGTCGCAGGTTTTTCAGAGCTCCAACACAGTCCTGCAGCTCAGGGCAGTGGCTCACAGGGGATGTTTTGCAGAGCATCCTCGCTTTACTTCTCCATCGCAGGTCAATGTTTGCCAAGCCTCTGTTTGTTCTGGGTGGATCAGAGTGGCGAGCACTTCCTTCTGCAGATTGCAAAGCCTTGCCTGGCCATGCCTGCAGCACAGTGCTTTGCTCCGCTCATGAGGTTGCACCCAACATCATCACTTTCCCACTGGCACCGGGGCTGCAGGTGCAGGACAGCCTGGGGTGTGAGGTGAGCACTGTGCTCTGTGCTGCACAGCCCACAGCAGCAGGAGGAGAGGAGCCCTGGCTGTGCTGTGGCACCTGAGTCAGAACACTTCGAAACCTTTTATTTTTTTATGGCACTGTTAACTGCCAAAGCTTTGCAATCCCCAAACCAGGAAGTGATTCTTTTCCTTTGTAAATAAGATTTAAAGAAAGCAACACGATGAGATGGAAAAGGCAAACGCAGCCCGCACCCGGTGCAGAGCTCTGCTGGCCCCATCACTGCTGTGTGCTGCAGGAGTGTCAGTGCAGGGACAGCACGAGGATGGCCCCATCACTCCAGGTCCCCATGTTCTGGAGATGAAGGGAGCAGCAGTGCTTTGCTCAGGGCTCAATGCAGAGGGATGGGGGTGGGGAGCACCTGGCCCTCAGCTCACCTCTCCTCTGGGGGGAGCCCTGGGGGTCTGTGTTCTCCCAGGGCAGGCAGGAGGGAAGCGATGTGCTTTGCTATCAGCGCTGTGCTGCTCCCCAGCCTCCCCCCAGCCCCAGCTGTTTGGCTGTATTATATATTTACCACTAACCCAGTCCCAACGGTGGCATCTTCCTGCAAACATTTCAAACCTGTAACTTTTATATTAAAGACAAATAAATACCAGTAACAAACCTGCCTAACGATCCTGTTTACAGTGCATGCAGCAGTCTGTGGATTAAAGTGACAATCGAATCCGCTCCTCAAGTTGGTGTGGCCTCGTGTTTTCTCACATCCCCATCCAGCTTTTCCTCTGCCATTGGCCCTTTTTGCTGTACATCACTTGCTCCCCTACTGTGGACCCCCCCCAAGCACAGCACAGGGCCCTGCAGGGAACATCTCCTCCTGTCCCCCCTCTGAGCACTGATGGGAATGGAGGGCTCTGAACCCTTTGCTGCAGCCCAGCCCGTGGCGTGGCCATAAATAACCCCTGAGCGGCTGCTGGTGCTATTTCAGTCCTGGATGGGGTTCAAAATTCCTCTGGAAATAATGGGCAGAGGAGGATGCTCAGACACTGAGCGAGCGCGCGACGCCGGCTGTGAGTGTGGGGGCTTTGGAGGAAGTCCCAGGTTGAATGAATGGAGGAGAATTTGCCCTAACGTTTGTGGTGGATGAAAGCCATGGGGGAAGAGGGACTGTGGTGTGCACAGAACACAAAGGCTTTGGCTGTGTGTATTTTATTTAGAACTGGAAGCAGCACTGAGGAGGCGATGCAGCACAGCTGTGCATGCAGAATTGCTATAGAAGCTAAAATACGTGGGGAATCTTTGCATGTTCCTAATTACCAGGGGGACTTCTCATGTGCTTGCACACCAGAGCAGCCCATGCAGAGCTGCTCGCTGTGGCCATGCACTATGGAGCCGTTTGCTCCATTCCCAGCCCCAGCCCTGCACAGTGCCATGCATCCCGCTGTGTCCCAGCGCTGTGCTGCTGCCCACAGTGTTGTGCAGCTCCCAGTGTCAGTCCCAACAGAGTCACTGAGCACCCCGGTGCAGGGCCGATGCTGCACACGGCTGCTGGGCTCGGTGCTGGCATCGCTGCTCCTCACCGATGGCACTCAGCTCTGCGCTCCGTGTCCCTGTGGCCCCGTCACCAGTACAGAGCCACCAGGACGTAGACGACCCAACTGAAGGAGACGAACAGCCCCAGGATGAGGCTGAACAGCACCAACGACTGCGCCTTCTTGGACGCCACCTGGGCCTGGGCCACGTCCCCGCGGCCGAGCGCAGCACGGGTCTGGCGTGGGGAGAAGGGGAAAGGTCAGCGGGGTCACGGCACGGGGCAGGGGCTGAGCGGGGCCCATCCTTACCTCGTGCGAATAGAGGAGGGCGGCGAGCCCGGTCAGCAGGCAGCAGAACAACGTCACCAGCACCGACTCCACCAGGTAGTCCTTGGGCGGCTGCTGGGCGGCGGTTGGAGGCCCCGTGCCAGGAGGCCCCACGGACTGCAAGGACAGAGTGTGGGTCAGCGGCCGTGTGTGCCCACGGAGGCAGAGGGGAGCAGGCATGGTTACGTACGGCGGTGCAGGGCAGCGGCTGCGGTATGAAGGGCGGCGGGTGGGGATGGGGCTGGGGGTGGAAAACCACCGGGAACAGCAGCTCCGCGCTCTTGGGGTCGGGCGGTGAGTAGGGCGGCGGGTCCTCCTCAAAGGCCGCATTGCTGACAGCCACCACCCGTTGCTCAGCCCCCACCCCGGCCTCCATCCTGCCAGCCTCCTCCATCCCTCCAGGCCTTGGGCGGCCCCGACCCCGCGTTAATCATTGACCGACGGCATCCGGCGGCGACAGGCAGGGATGGGGTGAGCAGGGCTGCGATTTGTCACAGTAAACACGGCTGTTGGGACAGAAACTGCATTCATAGCACGTGGATTAGCTACATACTTACATTAAAGACGTGCCACGTCTATTTAGCTATGAATACACATATCCTGTAGCCCCTAACTATACAGGGGCTGTATGGGGTGCGTATATGTATGCGAATATAAGCGATCGCTGTGCCTATTAGCATGTAACTTAAATAAGTGCACATACAGCTGTGTGTGAGCCTATGTGTGCGTGTGCTGTGTGTACATCATGAACACACACAGTCATGCATCCGCCTGTATGGCATTACACAGTCCTGCATATATCTGTGGTGTCCTTACATTGCACATTGTACATTGCACAGCATTTGGCTATAGACACACCCTTGCACGCACCCATATGAGATATATACATACATGTATAGACACATACGATGTAACCATACATACGCACGCGTGTAATGACGTACAGGTGCCCCTTGCAGCCCCACACGCCCTCAGGGCTGCCCCACGCCCCGCCCGCCCCGCTGCGGCCCCACGTGTCAGCGTCGCCCCGCCCCGCCGCCGAGCCGCGCCCACCGCTGACCACGCCCCCACCTAAGCCACGCCCCTCGGCGAGCCCCGCCCCGTCACGTGCTCTCCGCCGCCCCGCCCCCACGGACTACATTTCCCAGCGCTCCCCGCGGCGGCGCCGCTCCGCCCGGCTCACCCCGCGCCCGCCATGGCCTCCGCCGGCGGCGCCGAGCCCGAGCGGCCGCACCCGAAGCCGTTCCTCATCGGCGTCAGCGGCGGCACCGCCAGCGGCAAAGTGAGCGCGGCTCCGGGCGCGCGGTGGCCGGGGGCGACGGTGGGGGGGAGGGGTTCGGTTCGGTTCGGTTCTGCTGATCCGCCGCCCTCAGTCCACAGTGTGCGAGAAGATCATGGAGCTGCTGGGGCAGAACGAGGTGGAGCGGCGGCAGCGCAAAGTGCTGATCCTCAGCCAGGACAGCTTCTACAAGGTGCTGACGGCCGAGCAGCAGGGCAAGGCGCTGAAGGGGCAGTACAACTTCGACCACCCGGGTACGGCGCGTCCCGACCCGGCTGCGTCCCGCTGCCACCGCCGTGCGTGCGGCTGTCGGCGGTCCGAGCCGCAGCGAACCCCCTCCTCTCGCTCCCATCCCTCTTGCAGACGCTTTTGATAACGATTTGATGCGCGCAACCCTAAAAAACATCGTGGAGGGGAAGACGGTGGAGGTGCCGACCTACGACTTCGTGACCCATTCGAGGTACGGCGGGGTTCGGCTCGGTTCGGTTCCGTTTGTCCGCGCGGAGCTGCTCAGCACAGCGCAGCACAGCGCCGTGCCGCTCCCGCAGGATGCCGGACACCACCGTGGTTTACCCGGCCGACGTGGTGCTGTTCGAGGGCATCCTGGTGTTCTACAACCAGGACATCCGCGACATGTTCCACCTGCGGCTCTTTGTGGACACGGACTCCGACGTGAGGCTGTCCCGTAGAGGTACGACCCGCCGGCCGTTCTGCTGCTGCCGGTCTTTATCCGCCCATCCCCGCGATGGAACTCAGGTTTGTTTGTTTGTTTGTTTATCTTCCCGTTCCAGTTCTGCGAGATATGAAGCGCGGGAGGGACCTGGAGCAGATCCTCACGCAGTACACCACGTTTGTGAAGCCCGCGTTCGAGGAGTTCTGCTTGCCGGTACCGAGCGTTCCTCCGCATTGAGTGCTGGGGACGGAAAGAGCGGGGCGGGCGCCTGGGAGGAGCCGTAGGTGCGGCGGTGCTGGGAGCTGCCCTTGGGAGCTGGATTTTGTGAGCGAGTCCCGTGCTTCACCTCTGCCTCTCCCACTGCAAGCCCTCATGAGCCAGAGATCCCTCCTGCACTGCAGAAACCTGTAGTGGAATGCACGCTGTTCTCATTGCTGTGGCTATAGCAGCATGGGTCCCTTGGAATGAAAACACCCCTCTCTACATTTATTCTTTGAGTCTTGCAGGAGAGACCAGGTTGCAGCCCACTCTGAACAGGGAGAGAACAGAGAAACTGAGAGGCAGAGGCAAGAGTAATTTAGGTGCTTGTATGATCGAGATGTTACCAGCACAGGCAGCTTTAACTCACACCACTAGAGCATAACACGGCGTCACTCTTTGCACTCAGATTTCTGATTTCGCTAAGAACAAGACAGGCTTTTCCTATTAACAGCCTCCACCACCATTGCTGTTTTGCAGACAAAGAAGTACGCAGACGTCATCATCCCCCGAGGAGTTGACAACATGGGTAAAAGGGAGTTCAGTTCTCTGCTTGATTTCTTTAGGGGGACCACCTCTGGGGCTGGGAAGGGAGAGCACGTGGCAACCAGTGCCTTGCTGGCACGCTTCTGAGCGTGCTGTGTTCTGGTGGGGCTGCAGGGGAGGGAGATGCTCAGAGCCTGACCAGGATTAGCAGCTGCTCAGTCTGGAACAAGTGATAAGCAATTGTAGATGCAAAACAGGACACTGAGTTCAAAGCTGATGTTGCTGGTCTCTGCTGAGGTCTGACCTCACTGCAGAGGGCTGGCATAGCTTCAGTTAAAGGCTTGTTAAAACTTGAGTGAGATGGGGCTGGATGCTCCATGTGTTCCAGGTAGCTCAGCAGAGGAAGCTTACACATGTTCTGTGTTTCCCACTCCTCTCTCTGCAGTGGCTATAAACCTCATTGTCCAGCACATTCAAGACATCCTAAATGGAGACATCTGCAAGTGGCAGCGAGGGGCAGTGAATGGACATGGTCGGACCTACAAGCGCCCGTTCTCTGAGCAAGCAGAGAGCAGCAGTGTGTTGGCATCTGGCAAGAGGTCCCATCTGGAGTCCAGCAGCCGTCCACACTAAGCAGAGGCTGAAGGATTTGCCTCTGGTCCAGACCAACACTGCAGACAACTTTGGGAAAGAAAGACTGCACCAAAATGCCCGGTGAAGTGCCCTTTAAATCATCATAGCAGCAGAGGTGATAGTGGTGCGAGGAGAAGGAGGAGTTGGACTATGGCCCCTCTCCCCTCCAAACCCCTCACCCTTCCTCCCTCAGGTGGCTGAATCTATTCTATTAATCAACTCTTTAAAGGCAGTTCTACTTGCCTTCCTAATTTTCAACATGGAATCTAATGCTGAAGTTTATCCTGAAAGTAAACCAGGTGTTTAGCAAGAGATCCCTGATGATGCTGTTTCTTAGCAGGAAGGTTAACAGCCCAAACAGTCTCTTTTTCCAAGAGGCTCACAGTCTATTAATTTCAACAAGCAGGTACAGTCCTTACTCTTCTCCTGCCTTGCTGTGACCCTTAAGTTCTCACACTTCTCTCCTGCTGGCCAACCTTGGCAACCTGTAGCAGCTTGTGGGGACAGGAACACAACTTCATGAGCACAACCACAGAGGAATCTCTCCCCCAAGTTAGAGAGAGGTCTGGAACAAAGGGAAACTTACTCTTCATTGAGGGACAGGCCCAAGAAGCAGTGTGGTTCTCGTTCCTACAAAGTGATACCTTTCTAAACTACTGCACCTTGCTGTGCTGTATGCAGAGAAGGCTTCTATTTTTGTACCCAAACAGTGTTTCCTTTACCACGGTTACCTGAATGTGTGAGCTCCAACTGGATTGAGTTGCTCAAGAGAACAGAAACCTGACCTTGTCAGTGTTAGTGTCTTTTAGGGCATTTCTGTACTGGTGGCTGCAGATTCTGCTGGGCAGAATCCATCCACTTCCAGAGCTGGGTGGTAAAACTGACAAGGGGAAAGCTGTGAAACGTAAGACCCTCCTTGTGATGCCACAAACAGCTATCTATCTAAACGTGGTTTTACCATCAATCAGAGCACAGTGACTAAATGAATGAATGTTCTGATTTTCTAACAAAAACAACCCACAACAACAAAACCTAACAGATTAGAGGCTGGAAGTACAAACAGTGACATCCCAATTTCTGCAATGTACCCTGTATAGCTTCAGCAACATAAAGTTTCTGGTAAAGAATGTGAAATGAAGTTGGGCCTTTGAGAATGTCTGTATTACATCCATCTCAAGTCTGTAATTACAGAGTAATTTTGAGAATGGGGTGGGGGGAAATGTTACTAAGAGGGACTTTTTGATATTTTATGATTGATTTTTTTTCTAAACTTAAATCTGGCTGTGTTGGTTATGGGTGTGTAACTTTGGCTAATAAACACATGAACAAACACGAACAGAAGTGACCATTTTATATAAAAGATTTTTGTGTTACTTCTACTACACCAGTACAAAGGTCTGAACAGAAATGCTCTTACAATCAGCAGTCCTTTCTCGCTCTGTTTAAATTAGTTTTAGTTCTGTAATGGCTGAGCTTTAGAGATAAAAAAAGCAAAACAAGAAATGCAGTCTGCATGTAATACTATTGTCAGCAGTGGATGTGAGTAAAGGTTTGCTATCTGCTAATGAGCACTATCCTTCAACATTACATTTCTGCAAGTCAGACAGACAGACTTAGGGTATGAGATACTGCATTGAAGCACTAGCTGTCAGTACAGCTTTAAGGAGGAACAACACAGTGACCAAATCCTACTTTGAATGACTGTAGTGTTTGATCATACCTTCTTCGTGGGGAGAAGATGAAGACAGCCTGGAATAGCATTTGTTAAGGCAGAAAGGAATGCTACAGTAAAAAGCATCCCAGCCTGTTTAGGACTGGAGTTCTTAAGTCAGCTCCTGGCTGCTGCAGACACTAAATCAATAAAATCAACTGTGGCAGAAATACTGTGTCCCTTAGGGATTGCATGTACAGAGCTATCAGACATTCCCAGTGAAAAACCCCAGTCCTTAACTCGTACCTTCTGCTACGCTGTGAATTTCCCTGCTGGTGCAAGTCAGGCTGAGTTACCCACAATGTTTTTAACCTGAACCAGCGTGCGCAGTTCAGAGCACACTTCCTTGTTCCCATGATTCCTTCAACTTGTGGTGCAGCTCTGTAAATACAATACAGCTGTTGTTGGTAGCAGGCCATGGCACAGCGCTCGTAACACCTACATTACTACTGAGAACTTTTCTGTAATAGTATAATAAAAGAATTTTAAATTTCTTTTTCTGTTACAGCTTAATCCAAATACCATCAATTATCTGATCAGACTTTAAAAAAAATTCAGTAACACTAACAATACAATAAACTCTTGGCTTTGCATAAGAGATGTGTTGTCTTTTACCTGCAACAAGACTGTCAGTGTCCCTGTTTTCTGATGAGGATGTTCCAGCTGTCCTTCCAGCGCAGGTCCTTGAGCTCAGCAACAGACAGGGGCTCCCCGTAGGTCACAGGGCTGAACGTGCGATAGGCAAAGCACACTGAGGAGAACCAGGCTACAGTCAGTGCACTGAACATGCTCTTGGAAAGCAGAGATCTGGGACAAGAGAGGGAAAGAGCAGGCAGATTACATCGATGCCAGCTAACGCCATCCAGAAGGAAGATGTAAATGTGGCTTATCCTTTCTAAAGGAAAATGAAACTGTTGGGAAATAACACTGCCTTCCTGCAGCAGTTTGCCAGGGTGCCAACCCTGCAGAAAACAACTGTGTCACTTTTCTATCTGTAAAAATTACATACCTGCAGAGATGATCGCTGAGATGCTGTAATACAATGGGAATCAGGAGAATCTGGAATGTGAGGGCAGGCAAGTAGTGGTATAGGAAAAGTGTCTTCTCCATCAGAAAGAAGGGCAGGTAATTCACAACCCAACCTCCAACACAGATCTGACCAGCTGATACCCACAGCTGCCATGCATCTGCAGGAGACAGGAGAAATCTCTGACTGATATCTCAGAGCACTGACCTTGTAAATTTATGTATCTCAGAGGTCAGGGTTTGTTTGAAATAAGCCTCTCTCCACACAAGCACTATCTCTCCTTTAAGTCTATCACAAAAGGTCTCAGTACAATCCAAATCTGCTGCCTGGAGGCATCTTAACACACAGGGAGTAACTCAGACACTGTGCTAGCTCCTATACAGTCTCAAGGGGCCATGGTCACATGGCAATGACCAAAATCTTTGTGTGCCACAGGCAAAAATGTCAGGGTGAAAAAGGTGCAAAAATAATCAAGCATACAAAAAAAAAGGCTTTGCGTCCTTTAAAGCATAATAGACTAAGAGACACCCCCAATGGAATCAAACCTTCAGGAATATCATAAATTTTTCTTCTTCGTCGTATCAAGTACCAGAGGGACAGACACGTGTAGACCACAGCAGCAACATTGGCTGAAGCCCAGGTGCAAACATTCCCAAGGAGATGGATCTGGGCCTGCCAAACAAAATATGGTATAAGCCAGAAGTAGGAATGCACTGCAGCTCTTTTAGGTAAGTTCAAATATTATCAATATTTCACATACTTGCTAAATTAAATTTCATAGCGTGCATGGCTAGTACTGTGATCTTTCTTTCCTTATCAGAAAGCTGATGAAGTTTGCTGCTTTAAGTCTCTTTTGTAACGTATAGCACTTAAAGGATGCTACTAGAGTTCAGCTCATCTTCTGAAACAGGAAAAAATTTCTCAAGAAAAAGCTGCTTGCTTTGAAGAACTAAAAATTTTTAACACAGTAAGAGCCCAACCTGTATCAACTCCTTGGACAGAACTGCAACCCTGCTGTCACTCAGACATGTCAGAACTGAAGCCTTCCTTCACCAGGTTCACACTTACTACCACTCTGCTACTCACACCAGAGGTTGGGTGTAGCCAGTATGCAATATTTGTGTCCATTGTGATCCAATCAAGAGCAGAGGAGCTGTACTTATGTTCTGTATCTTCATTTTTCAATGTGAGTATCTTCCACTGGAAAAAAAAAAAGTAAACTGAAGGCTTTCAGAATTAGAGCAATAGCTGAGATAACAGGCATAGATTAACAGCTTCAGATGTAAGATGTTATGTTCTCAACCTGCACGTGGAAAAAGACAGTTTGTAAGTCAGGCTTGATATTTATCAATAAAATGGTTTTATTTGTCCTTAGATAATGCACTTTTCTGAGTGAAGTTCTGAAATGTCAGCAAGGGGCATTGAGACTGCTGACAAAACAACACTGCAATTCAGTTTCAGAGAACTTCTGCATGCCCAGCTGCTCTTCCTTCTCTCTCTTTTTACAGTCACTTGGGTACTCATCATTCAATAGCACAGTTGCTATCTAATGCTTAAAGAGCATTCAGATTTTTTCCTCACTAAGGAAGCCAAATTACTCTATCAGCAAGGAAGAAATAATGAATTCTCAGTCTCAGAGTCTGCAGAAGTGCTTTTGTTCCTGCCCTGCATCAGAAAGGATGAAAGAAATGCATTTACCTGCAATTCTGTGAACTTTGCCATGAAGCTTAGGTTTTTACTTATATCCATCCGTGTAGGAGAGTGGAGTTCCACTTCCCTCTCTTTTTGCTCTTGGCCTGGAAGAAGAAAAACACTGTTCAGAAACAACAACATAACAGCCAGAAACCCAGAAAGGGAGGGCCCACATGATATACCCCCGGCTCCTCAGGCTCCAGGCAGCCCTTCAGCATTGTGCAGTCCAACTGTATGAGCTCTCTGAGGAGATCTGTAAGGATTCTGACACTAGTAGAACTAGCTCACTGAAAAACTGCCCAAATCTACTACTCAGACTGAGTGTGGCTGAGACCTCACCATGTCAGTGACACTGGGAACACACCCACTCCATCCCAATTCCACTAGACTAAGTACATCTACGTACACTGCAGGAAGCTCCCCATCTGATCTATGCTCAGAGAACATGGCTGAGACATACTTTTCCCATATCTGTGCTCTTCCACGTTCCACACCATGCTCTGGTGGTAGCCTTTGGACAGCTTCTCTCCAACCACCTCCAGCTGCCGGTATCCCCACTCAGGTAAAGATGCTCCACTGAGCTGAAAGTGAAAGTGCAACTTACAGTCCTGTTACTTGGAACCTCAGGCTGGAAGTTCCTTGGCCTGGCTGTGCAGCCCATCACAGCAAGGTCCTGCTACAAAGTACAGGACGAGTCACCACACAGTACATCTGAACAGATGCTACAGCCATGAAGTCAGCGATTCTGGCAACCTTTGTGAAGAGATCCTTCACTATTCCATCTGCTGTCAAATACTACACACAGCCTCAGCATCTAAGGCTCACTTGTGTACAGTGGTCATAACTTTCTGAGAATCAGGAGAGCTGTGCATGCTGAGAAAGAACGAAGCAACTACCTGAAACACATGCCTCCCTTTTACCACGTTGAGCAAGTTCACTATTTCCCTGAATTAATTTATGTTTGTTTCACGTAGTTTAGGCATTTTAGAGAGATCAGTATTTTATGAAATTATCAGAGTTGGATGGAGGAAAAACTGTAGGAAAATAAACATAAATCCACTTACCTTTAGCACTGCAGAGGTATTCACGTGAACAAACCTCACTTCTGACAGAATGGTTTTCCACACATCCGTGTCAGACTCACGATTTACAATTTCCTGCAATGGTGAGATGTCTTTTGATTGGCTTTTTATCTCAGCTACTTTTGGCAAAAAAAATGATGAGCTCCTTTCCTCCCTTTGATCACTCACCACTCTCCAGAGGTTCTGTGCTGGCATGGAAATGTTATAATCAATATAGCAGGAAACTTCTTGGGAGTGGGGGCTAAGAGGGGCGGCAACATCGTGCCTGTAAGACAAAGTAAGCATCCTCAGATCCTCTAAGACCATTTCCCAAATTCATATAAAAACATACCCATAAAGGAACAAGATTGGCTTAGTTTAAAAGCAAATAATCCAAGTAATCCATTTAAAAAGACTACACTGTTTACTCTGAAAGAGAACACTACTCACTACCAAGAGCTGCCAGCAGCAGCCACAGAGGAAGCCAATACAGACAACTGCTACCCTGGGCTGAAGAACAAGCACTGATTGTGACAAACAGGGATGCTGTTCACTTGCTTTTCCAAAAATGAACAAATTGGGTTCAGAAGGAACATAGCAAAGACCCACAATTCAGAATGCCCCCCCCCTTCCCAATCAGAGCAACATTCCAATGCCGACTGACTCCCTTTTGAAAGCAGCCAGGAGGCCACTTTCAAACTGCAGTCTTTGCAGAAGAGCCAAGAATCCGTGGCAATGAGCCATGGCACACTGAAGCCTCCAACACATTCTCCTAACTTTCTGAGTGCACCCTTCACACAGGTGAAGTCAGCAGAGGCAGCAGATGGCTTTAAGTTAACTG